GTCGAAACGGGGGCAAAAGTGTAAACCCCTGCCCCCTCGTCGTCGCTGATTGGCCGAAAGTCGGACCAATCGGGGGCCGCCAGATCGGCCTCGTCAGCTGCGTTATAGAAAGACGCGTCGCTGCCGAGACTTGATTGGCTGGCCGTGGAGGCCTCGCTGTCCGAGGACAGGGCCCGGTCTCTGATTGGCCAGAAGAGTCGCATGGCGCACTCTGATTGGTCAAAAAGAAAAAAAATCCGACAGCCGAAGACCGAAGACGAAGGCGAATTAGAAAAGTGTAGAGAAGATCGGTGTAGTTGGCCTCGCGGGGGAAAGGTGAACGCCCCCGGAGACCGCTCGTCCGCCGCTAGCAAGCTAGCCGCAGACGATTGCCCAAAAATGCGAGTGAAAAAGTCCGCCAAAAGGCGAAAACCAGTTTTCACACTGATTAGAACAGAAAAGTTTTGTGTATTACCATTTGGCTTACTCGTTACCAAATTTGTAATTTGGTCGCTACCTAATTGAATGTCTAAGAAAAAAATAGGTAAGGCCTTCGAGTCGACCACCGAAATGGGTTTCTAGGGCGGTTCCCTACCTGGGTGGGGCCCTGTCGGCCGTCTTGGGCCTGGTTTCCGCCTAGCGGCGGCTTGTCTGGGAAGACAGCCATGAAGAAAAATTCGAGCTGTGGCGGAGAGCTCAAGTCTCTAGTAGACCGGGTATGGCTTACTGTGAACGAGTACCGAGAAGAGAATCCTGCCATCACAGATGATGAAGTTCGGCTAAAGATTACCGACTCCGACCTCGTACTACACGATATAGCTGTAGTGACGAACAACTGTATGCACCAGATGATAGCCGAGTCCAATCAAGCAACCGCTTACAAGACGCGTGAGGTTTTGCGCAAGACCTTTGGAGTTATTATGAACGACCTTATAAAGTCGGGGAAGAGCGACAATGGCACGTCCTACGACGACAAGGAAAAAGCGTACAGAGTGGTCGATCTTGCCTTCACCGCTGCCGCTGTAACGCTGCTAGACCCTACTCGTATTACGCTGTTCTTCTCTGAGTTTATCCAGAAAATTTGCGGACCTTACTCAGTTTATGGGCGAGATCGACGATGGTACAGAACCTGCTACGTTGGGCTTGAATACGCTTCAAAAGGCTTTCAAAGGGACGACTAGCTCGTGGATTAAGAAGGGCGACGGAGCCGTCATCATCAAATTTTCGAGTACAGACACGAAAGACGTGACTGTGAACATCATGTCGGGAGGGGACAGGATCGACGAAGTCGACGTCAAAGCAGGAAGAACTGGCGAATTGAATTCAACTGTCAAGGCTCTTGGTGGAAAAACGCTGTACCTCGACCGCTGGCGTCCAGGATTCCTCGGTCTTCCAGGAACAGGAGGCGGGTCGCTGGTCCTGTGGGTACCGAGGTCTACTCAAGGAGGCCATTTAGAACTTAAGGTGAAGCTTAACGTGAGCTAAAGCTCCGTTCTAATCGTTGAATAGAATGATATCATCCATGTTAGAGCTTTGTTGTTATTCTTCCAGCAACAAAAGTGTTAAATATTTTTCGTTAGTTTTCAAGCTTTTTATTATGATACCTGAGTAAGGTCACCAAATAGAAATACTGTAAGTCTTGTAGTTCTTCTAAAGATTGTGCTAGCGATTTTTGCTTTGTTTTAGCTTAATATAGTTTTTCCTGCATCATAAATGTTATTATTGTCAAGCGGAGCTGCTTTTTTCTTCTTCGATTTCTAAGAATATACTTGAACAGTACAACAATGACAAAACAGCAAAGATGTAGATTAAAAACTGAAAGACTGAGCAACTTTTATCAGCTGTCTGCAACTACGGCACTCGAACGCTAGCTACGTTTCCCACGTATCATTTCTCACTTTCAGCTTCCCAATCACGTGACCACAGCGACAAACTGCGCTACCGCTGAAAATCTGATCGCAGATAATTTTGCGCAAGAAGTTATCGACTTTTTTTCCGACGCCAATTCCAGCGCCTCCTTTAGCACTTGCAGCGGCCAGTTGCCTCTTGCAGTCTCATTTAGTATCTCCAGCACACCGCTTTCTCTCCGCTCTGCCGCACACATAGATACCTTGATCCCGATATCACAAGGTACACGCTCTTTATCACACATGCGGCTTGAGAGAGTTCTGTAATTTGCATGAACGCTTCCAGTAGTGCATTAGGAGAAATCAAACCAGACTCGTACAGAGATTCTACCAGATCCCTTTGACCTCGAGACGCTGCGTCTCTGGCTTCACTTGTAAGGCGTGGATCGTCACCCAGAAGCTCAATGATCTCATTGTGAAGGTTTTTAGCAGCAGCAGCGTATGCCTCACCGACGACTTCGACAAGAATGCAGTCCAGATATTACAAGACCTTGACCGCTTCAACATTGTCCTCACTTACGCGAAAATAGAAAGACTCACTTTCACAAGCGGATGCTCGTCTGAAGGCAGCGATGATCGACCCGGACGAGATTTATTCGTTCTGATGGAGCGCTGCAAAGTGGCTTGTAACACGGAAAGCTCCATTGACCGCATCAGACGGTGCCAGCTTCTTGCTGCAGAGAAAAGTTACTGTTTCTGTTGGATATAGCATCAATCCAGCTGCTTCCTTGAGGACTGCGTCGACTACTTCAGACGAAATACGACTGGTACTGAGCAAGAATTCAACGACATCCGTCGACCCCCACTTCGCTGCAGCCATGAACGCTGCGTTGAACGACTCGATGTTATCGTGTCCGCTAGTGTACGCATACTTCAAAGCTTTGTCATATCCTCTGCGTGCGAGCTCAACGAACAAATCTCCCGTCCGGGCTATGCCCGGGTAGATGCCGTACATGCAGCGGGGCTGCCGTAGCTTTAGCGTCAGAGGAAGACGTTCGACTCAAAGAGTCACTAATACTAAGTTCCTTATCCAAAGGACACTTACAGCCCAAGACCAGGGCTCAAAGTTAACACCTTAACTTTTATGCTTCAAAACCAGAAGTGTTTTATTTACTATTATTGCGGCCAAGCCGCCTAGGGGTAAATGTATCTCTTTAACTATCTAGCATAGTTAAACCTAATCAAATGCATAACGTGTGGCTTTCAGCCAACGTACTGAGAGACCTTGTTAACTCTCCAACTTATGTACTGAGAGTTTGTTAACTCTCCGGGTACTTCGTACCCCTGTGTGCTCCACACCATGTAACCCCGTTACACTCTCCCCCACTAAGATGAGAACATTCCGTTCTCGAAACTCTCCTCAGCGAGGTCACGTCTTGTTAAGACGGCGGAGGTTACTACACCTCACACCAGCGTTGTACAGCTCCGTGAGCTCACAAACGCCTACGCATCGTTGATGCCCAACTTCTCGTCGTCGGCCCACGGCCCAATGCTCCAAGCGCTGCGCGCATCTTGCTCTCAAGCGGTCTCAGACCTACGCTCGCGCTCCGCGCCTACTCCAAGAGCTGCAAACCGCTTAGAGCAATGCTCTTGACTCATTCGAGTCGTCGACAACAGCTCAGCGGTTGAACACTCGCTTTACAAGCGATAGGTCGGTGGTTCAAACCCACTAGGGCACAGCCCTCTCGTTCCATGAACGATTGTTCACGCTCGGACAAGCTTAAGGGCAACACCCTTTTAGCTCAATGGTTGAGCGTTGGCTTTGAGAGCCACAGGTCGGTGGTTCGAGCCCACCAGGGCACAGCCCTGTCTTTCCATGAACGATTGTTCACGCTTGGACAAGCTTAAGAGCAATCCGCTTTTAGCTCAGTGGTCGAGCGTTGGCTTTGGAAGCCACAGGTCGGTGGTTCGAACCCACCAGGGCACAGCCCTCTTGTCCAA